GCTTAATCATATACAGTATTGCACAGTAATGATAGCAATCCCATCCTGGATGACCCACTACAGATGTACAGATTAACAAACTAATAATATACGATTCCTCTGTTTTCTCTAAGTGCAACAAAAATGTACTATGAGCACCAAGGTTGTAGTTACAAACATAAATCCATGTAAATCCATGTTAGTTATTAGTTAAGGAATACCTGTTTTTCAGATCTTCATATAGAAAAGAATCACATAGACCCATTATTCCGATAATTTCTATAATATGTGAATGAAAATAGTCTCATATCTAATAAAAAGAATTCTGGTTTTATCAATTAGAAAGGTAACAGCAAATTTATGAAGAGTTGATGAGGAACTAAAATAGCCGAGTCAATATTTCCTTCATTATTCCCCAAAAATGAATATCTAAACTCACTGTTCATAAACATTTGGAAGAGGTTAGAGATCACAATTCACTATGATTATCTCTAATTCAAGTTTTGTTTCAGTGTACAGATGCAACTTAAGCTATTCTGCACCTTTGTGTATATATGCAAATGAATAAAGAAACCGGGATTATTATGTAAATAAGCCAGGCTTTAAATTTTTTTCCTACCAAAAGAAACGTTTGGGCAGAATTACTCAGAATTACTCCAAGTCTGCAAATCAAGCAGAGGTGGTAAGTAATCTCAAGGTTAGTTTTTTTTTTAACATCTATTAACATGAATACCGAATTTACCAATAAGTAGCATTGTAAAAAAATTGCAAAGTACTTGCCACTACAAATGTGACTTTATGTACTAAGGTGACAAAGGTGATAAACTGAGGTAATGTCTTTGGTCACCGAAATGAAGAATAAATATTAAAGTTAACCACAATTCCTAAGATGTGAAAATTAAAGAAACAAAATAAGGTTTAAACTGTGTAAACAGTGACTTCAGTTTTCTGGTTGACTTTGTAATGAACCTGATATTAAAACATGAAATAATGGTTTTTTAAAGAAATCACTGAAACTTTTAAAACTTTCAAGCTATCTTCTTTCAAGTATTCTTATATCAGGAGTCACAATGGGAAGAAAAGCATAGATGCTATCAAATCAGATTACCAGAAAAACTCCCTCTATTTTACTTTATTTAATGTGACATATAAAGAAAACTCTGTACAAATATCTGTCTTTAATTTCTCTAGTGTAAAACAAGAAATATATTGTGTGTGGCAGAATGAAACACTTGAAATAGCCTAGGTACATTTAAGGGGAGGGATTGGGAGAAGAAATTGCATGCTTATAAAGAGCCTTCAAAGCCACTCCAGCAGTAAGGATAAATAATTTAATAAACTCAACTTCATATTCTTTTTCTCTCCCCAGAGGAATAAGCACATATTAAAAAATAAAACTAAATTCATGAATACTAGTGAATAAACTAGCAGCCAGCAAATAAGGAAAAAAACCAAAACAATATCATGAGCACCTAATGCATGTGCATACTCTCTGACATACTTTTCGAAAGGTTACAATTGCTAAAATTTGTGAACATGCCATTCTAATTTAGTTTTTTAGAAAACATAAAAATCTTGCATTCTTAGATTTCTTAAAATAAAACTAACCCTAGCAAAGAGACTGTATATATATGCATTACTTTGTGAATCCTATATAAGTAAACAGGTCTGTGGAAGAGGTAAGTTACTTAGAAATAGTACTTCAGGAAAAGTTGTTTTGTCATTGTTATTTGAATGCTATGAAGCGTTAAAGGTGGCAATATTTAATTATTTTATATATTCAAAACTAATATTTACCAGAATGGCATGCTTGTGTCTTTATTAGATTCTTTTTCTAAGTGTACATTTTAAATCAAGGTTGCTTCCTAAACTAATAGAACAAAAAGGTCAGTTTAAAACCCCAAACATCATTCAACTATAAGCATTGCAATCATTAAATCATGAGATTCCTGGGGTATTGTTCCCCTCGATTAGATCAGTTTTCTTCAATTATGATTCTATTATTAGCTCATGTCAAAGATGCCTGAGTGAATACCACTGAAAACAATTAAGCATTCATATCTTAACCCATGGGACACACACAAGCTTTTATTCTAGTCCTACTAAGATTATATTTATATGAGACTGGTATCATTAGGGTTCCTTTAAAAACTTTTCATATAAGTAAAAAATGGATTTTAAGCCATCTATATATTACATCATCATTTGAAATAACTAGTTCAATAGATCAAATATTTTTAAAAAGTACTATAAATTAGTGAAATACATTACTCCCACAAAACAAAAACTTAGATCTCCAAAATCTTAGATTAAAATCAGTTGAATTACACAAAAGTATACTATTATTTTTAATTCTTTATAAGTAGATCACTTCAATTAAAAAAATCAAGGATGGAAAGCAGTCTTCAGCACAGTATTCTCTTCAACAATGATGGGTGTTAGGATCACTGAAAAGATTCAGCTAAGGAAGGTAATTGTTTTCACGTGCTCAGTGTACTAGAAAATCACTATGCTGCAGCAACAAGCACTACTTGCACTCAGGTATTATTGTAGGGCGCTCAGTTCACCCACAATGATAATAACGGACCGGAATTCTATGTTATGTAAATCACTGTCAGCGCAGCGCTTGATGGGCGCTTAAGGAAGCAGAGCTCAAAAAACGCGGTCCTGGCATCCTTGAAAACCAGTGACTTCCCTGGAACATTCTATCAGGACTAATGAGTTTCTTAGTCCTTTTCTTACAGTCTATTTTTCTTTCTCAAAGTGCAAATCATTAGTGAAAAGGCCCGGTTGCACCAATTAGTCTGCACAAAGTGGTTCAATGTTTAGCTTCTCTTTAACCCAATTCAGCCGCACAGAGAACCTCAAAGGTGCGCCACCTGTGCGACTGGCTTCAACAAGGCCGGGCCGGCGCCCCTTGTGGCCCCGCGTCCTGTAGGTTCGACCCAGAGCGGCCCTGGGGCTCCCTGGTTGCTTCACGTCCGCCACAGCTAGAAGGGACGGCCTGCAGGTGGCCAGAGAGGACAAGGATCGAGGTCCTTCGGCCAAGCATCTCTGCCTGAACCTCAGTGAGAGGCACTGGATGTTATAAGCCAGCAGCGCCCAGCAAGGATGCGCCTGGCTCAGCTGCGACTAATGGAAAGCCAGAAGGCAGCCGGCGGCCGGGTGCGTGGGCACAGAGCGTGGAGGACTGGAACAGCCGGGAAGAAAGCCGGGACACCAAGAAAGATTTTAAAATCATCCACATGCAGAAATAAAGCCCACGGGGCAGTGGGCAGAAAGAAGAGAGCAAGAGGGCCCCTCAGTGTGGATTATCGGACAGAGATGTTGGGCGGGAAGCTCACCGGGGACCCGCGCTGGGTGAGGCAGAGGTGGCCTTTCCCCGAGACCCCTACGTATCTTCGCCTTTGCGGCCCCGGCCCGATTTGCCCGTTTTCCTTCTCTTCCAGCTGCCACGAGGTAGCAGAGCGTTCACGCGCGACGCCGGCAAAGTGGGGAGGGGCTTTTCGGGTTCCCAGGCCCTGCTCCTAAGGGACATGAAGTGTCTTTGGGAAAGGAGTAAATGGATGCCATGCACCCCAAATGTGAGGCACTATTTTCACCTAAGTCGGAATCTATCACTCGTGGGTAACAACAGAGTAAACTGGGTGGCTTCGTGATGCTCTACCCGTGTTCTTGCAAATAAAACAAAAGCACGGGTAAAAAGTGGGAGCTCTCAACATTGTAAGAGTGCCTTGGAAGGCCTGCAAACCTGTTACCTTTAGAGGATTTCAGGGCAATATTTTTAATTTGAGAGAGGGAGCATCTAAATTAAAGGTCGCTAATTAAAAATCCATGTAGTTTTAAAAACCGCTATGTAAGTAGTATTTCTTTAGTTCCTGTACATTGAGGACAAAACTGGTGCCACCAGAAAAAAGGAAAAAAATAAAAGTTCTACATAAAACCATCCCCTCCTCTTGTTTCTTTGGGTACCCGGGATCAAACTCAGGACCTTGTGCTCGCGAGGCAGGCTTCTGAGCCACTGAGCTAAATCCCTGGCTCCCCTCCTCTTGTTTTAAGGTTCCAAAATATAAAAATAATTTCTTTCAAATTTTCCAAAATGATAAATCAAAAAAGTCTGGATGATTGCAAATTAATTTTCTTTTAAATTATTAACAATTTTCCCGTAATCAAATCATATGAGATAGTATAAAATTAGGAGTATACTGTCAGGTCACCCTAAGTACATTTAAACTAGGGGATATACCCTAACTGTATATTTATAAACAAGCCAGAAACCTCAATTCTTCAAATTTTCAGTACCATCTACCAGTGAATCTGGTCTCTATCACGTCTCTTGAATTTCATGTATTAAAATACTGCTCACTATAAAATCATACTAAAATAATCTCTTGATCCCAGAGATAATTTCTTTTAAAAATATTTCCGCCAGAAAATATACAGCTTGGTGCCCTGCTTGTAACAGTGGGCAAATCTACCAATGTGAAATGACTGTACATGGGAAGTGCACTACATAATTTTAAACGTTCAGCTTAAACTGAGGTAGATAAATTGACCTCATTCAGCAATAATTTTCAGAATCCTCTCAACAAGTACAAATAGGGAAAAATTAGGTAAAAAGAAGAGCACATTACCTGCTTAAGGTTTTAAAATCATTCTAAAATACAGAAACTAGAGAATATTACTCAAGTATTACATCTAAAGCCAACTTCCCTGTGCCGGTAGTTTGTGCATGAAAGGATGAACTTTTAACCTGCATTTTAAAAAGATCCCAAGGATTAAGGGACATTAATTATCTTACTCTAAATGCAAGTTAGTGACTTTGTTTTAGAAAGCTCCAGCTAGTTTACTAATTGATGGATGACCATTAATACACCTGTATTTGCATTTCAGTGGTAAAAAAGACAAGCAGGATTTTCAGCAAGAGGGCCACTTCGCCAAGTCTTTTCAAAACGTCAATATGCTTCAAGTAATACCAAAGCTGAGAGATTCTTCTTCATTTCCAAACTGCCTAGGTGGCCTGGTTGGTTTTCCGCCGGCAGCAGCCTCCTACCTTTCGTTTGTGTGCCTATATCCATAAGGGAGGATTAATTAGCCGGGCTGGAGCTGAAGGAGGCTGTCGTGACGAGCCCAGTGGCGATTGGCCGCCCGCCTGCCTGGCCCTGCCTTTATAATTTCCACACGAATGCATCTGGGCTCTTAGACAAACCAACCGCAGCTTCTTCTGACATATACACACACGCACACTCACCCCGATGCACACTCAGCACACTTTTCCTCCAGATGATTAACAGTCCTGCACACACAATGATTTCGGGAAAGCGTAAATAAATACAGAAAGGGGTGATTATTTTGACTACTGGAAGAGCTTTGCTGAGTCTCAGCGCAACTTTTGTTTTTATTACTGAGAAGGTGATCTCTCCATGCATTTCTTTCACACAAGGATTCTTTAAAAAAGGAAGCAGAGAAAGGGGGGAGAACAATCTTTCACTTATGACCGGCTGGGCTCAAAGATAAAAGGAAGGGGAAAGCGGCAGCAGCGGGGAAGCCACCGCTGCAGCACTTCGGAAAGACACTTTTGATACATTTCTGAGCGCTGCGGCCCGTTTCTCCACCGAAGTTGGCTCCAGCTCTAGCAGCCGCATTGGATCCCACAGCTTACTGCGAGACTCCGGTGTACAACCCGGATCTCTGCCCCAACATGATCGCAGCCCAGGCCAAGCTGGTTTACCATCTGAATAAGTACTACAATGAAAAATGCCAAGCCAGGAAAGCTGCCATTGCCAAAACTATCCGGGAAGTCTGTAAAGTAGTTTCTGACGTTCTGAAGGAAGTGGAAGTGCAGGAACCCCGGTTCATCAGCTCTCTCAACGAGATGGACAATCGCTATGAGGGTCTTGAGGTCATCTCCCCCACCGAGTTTGAAGTGGTGCTTTATCTTAACCAAATGGGGGTGTTCAACTTCGTGGACGACGGCTCGCTGCCCGGCTGCGCAGTGCTGAAGTTGAGCGACGGGCGCAAGAGGAGCATGTCCCTCTGGGTGGAATTCATTACGGCCTCTGGCTACCTCTCGGCACGCAAAATCCGGTCCAGGTTTCAGACACTGGTGGCTCAAGCAGTGGATAAATGTAGCTACAGGGATGTGGTAAAGATGGTGGCTGACACCAGCGAAGTGAAACTGAGAATCCGAGATAGGTACGTGGTGCAGATCACCCCGGCTTTTAAATGCACCGGGATCTGGCCAAGGAGTGCTGCCCACTGGCCACTTCCCCACATCCCCTGGCCAGGACCTAATCGAGTGGCAGAGGTCAAAGCGGAAGGGTTTAATCTCTTGTCCAAGGAATGCCACTCTCTGGCCGGCAAGCAGAGCTCCGCTGAGAGCGACGCCTGGGTGCTGCAGTTCGCGGAAGCAGAGAATAGACTGCAGATGGGAGGCTGCAGAAAGAAATGCCTCTCCATTCTCAAGACCTTGAGGGATCGTCACCTTGAGCTGCCGGGGCAGCCTCTGAACAATTACCACATGAAGACTTTGGTTTCCTACGAGTGTGAAAAGCACCCCCGGGAGTCGGACTGGGACGAGTCTTGCCTGGGAGATCGGCTGAACGGGATTTTGCTGCAACTCATCTCCTGCTTGCAGTGCCGGCGGTGTCCCCACTACTTCCTACCGAATTTAGATCTGTTTCAAGGCAAACCTCACTCGGCTCTGGAAAATGCTGCCAAACAAACGTGGCGACTGGCAAGAGAGATCCTGACCAACCCTAAAAGTTTGGAAAAACTTTAGAGGATGATCTAGTCAAGAGCCGAAATGATTTCTCTTCTCAAAGTCCTAAATAAATGAAAACTTACTGTTCGATTCCTAATATCCCATTCGACAGTGCAAACAATCTCTTCTTTAAAAAGGAGTGATTCAATGTTTAGGCATCATCTCACCCACCCCTCCAAGGGGAGAATAAGGAGGATGAGAAGCGATGGAGAAAACACAAACCTGCAAGTATTAGTGAAAAATACACAACACCCAGAACACAGCCCGACTTAATGGTAATGCAAGACCACAGGGAACATTCTGCCTATCAGAGGATTATAGCAATCCTGGTGATGTAGGTGCATCTGCCTGTGAGTAAACAAGATTTGGATATGTCATCTGAAGGAAAGTGTAATGTATATTTTGATGTGTAACAAATATTGTGATCTCACATTGTCTTTGAAAGTGTGGATGTTGGTGTTTTGTGATTTGGTGAACAGAATTTAAATTGCCATTTTGGATACTTCCAGACATTTTCCACTAACAAAGATACGGTAGATTTCCTCCTGGTAACTTTTCTCTGTCTTTGAAAGTGTCTGAACTTTAAAAAGTTTACATTTTGTTTCAAATATACTGCTTGTTCTGTTTCTAACATTCCATAAATATACTTGAAATGTTATTTAAATATATTCAAAGAAATTTGAATTCAGCTTATATAATAACGCTTGAATATCTGAATTATATATTTGAAAAATGCACTTGAAATACACTGGATAATTACTTTTGTGATTTAGATTTTAATTTCTGTTGCCATTTTTATTTAATTAGAAGCTAATAAATGAAGTGAAATACAAGTCGTGTCTGACTTTAAATTGTTTTTCTATCAAAAGATGTGATTCTTCAGTTTGAAAATCAACTGCACTTAAATGAGTTAAACATTATAAAAAGTATGTTAATGAAACAAAAGTAAACCTTAAAATATCTAAAAGCTCTTTTTATAGAGCTACAGAAGACAGCTAGCGCTTCTCAGTTTCTTACTTTTAAGACTTCCTTTCTGCAAACAACACACTTTAAATCTACCCATGAAAGCTTGCTTTTCTGGTTAGTAATTCTATAGCATTTTTGATAACAGGAAAATTCTATCATGATGGTAGAAATAACTGAGTTAGAAATCAGACTAATTCAGAGAAAATGAACTTAAAGTCATCATAAAATTATTGAAATATGTATATAAAAATTAAGCTAATAAAATCAAGATTATTTTTGACCAATATACTTTATGTCAAACCTTATTTTATGCAATAAGGGTTCCATTAGCAGAATAAATTAATCAGAAAACCAAAATTTCTTTTTACTTCAAAGGGCAAACTCATGACTAAACATTCAGACAAGCTTTTGATTATTTAAAATTAAGCTCTTCAAGTTCATTAAAAAAAATTCATTGCTTGTGGAGTTGGAAATGAAAGAAGCATTTTGGAGTATTTTAATAGTCAACAAGTGCTGACAGGACTGGTCACTGATGGGCCTTTAGTTCAGGTGGTGGTAACTTTGGGCTCTGGATTACTGTTTTATAATGCTTTATTTCTCCATATAAATTAAATATATAGAATGAAATTCTAGATCTATGGGCATATTTGACGATTTTTGAATATATGCCTCTGAAAACATGTTAAAGGAAAATCTTTGCAAAATAATACCAGAATATCTAGTATGACACTTAATGATCTTGAAATGTTAACCTCAGGAGAAAAGTTTGCAAATTGTACAGTAACATTAAAGTTAGAACTTTAAAATGGATCTTGGAAGACAGTGTTGAGGTATAGAGCTGCTCTAATGCTCAGGTGATTAAAATCTATAAGATAATATTAAATAAATAAATATTTGGGCATGTCATATGGTCCAAATATGTATTTTCTGGCACTACAATCCAAAGAGGAAATCAACCTTTAAACGTCTGAGTGTTAGTATATACTCTGTCTATACATTTATAATTAAAGCTTCTAGAGAGTCAGTTTCTTAGTTCAGGAGATGAAAAATGGATGTGATAATGGTGGTGAAACTGTACCTGACACTCTCACTCCAGGATCCTTATAGCTTTTCAATAAATAATTCATATTGCAAACTGTACTTTTGAAAATTAAAACGATTTTAATACAAAAAATATCCTAAGACCATTCCTAGTCTTCCCAGAGAGACTGAGATGCTGTAGCATGGGGACTTAGGACAACTGGCTCAACTACCAAATCAGATCCACACAAAGGCACTCATAGAAAGGCATTAAAGTGTGAACACTCTGGCAATACAAGATTTAAACTCATTAATATATTCTTCAATTCCATATAAGAGAGCATATGTTATTTCATTCATTTTATTTTCAATGAGAATGAGAATTACTCCCCTCCCCCACAGTCATTTAAAACGAAGCAAAATTGAAAACCACTTCCTGCCACAAAGCCACCAATACAGTACACTACGGAATCACTTTGACTCACTTTTGTGTCGATCTTCTTGAAGGCAGGATCATCCTCATCTACCTCGAAGTAGATTTCTGTCGTGGTGATGGAGAGAGTCCCCTTGGCCACCACCACCGGAGCGATGAGCTGGGCAGGGGTGCTGAGTACCACTGGGCCTGCAAGTCAAGGGCACAGAGTCAGGCTGAACACCCTCTGTCCTCTCGGCATCCTGGTCCCTCCCAGGAGGTACCACAGGATTTTATTTTTAAGGATGCACTAGAAAAAAAAATGGTGTCTATGTTATTCGGGAAGGTCTTTCATTTAGGTAAGGGCTGTCTACATTTTATACATTACTTTAAAATGAGATGAGAGACAAATAATTCTATACAAAACCACAGGATCAGGGCATGGAATAAGTGACCCAAACCATGCGAGTTTTTGATCTCCACCTAGAAATCCTACCGTGGTTGGTGAGGTGCTGCCATTACCAACTTTAAAGTACAGAACAGACTCTAAAAAGGTGGGTTCGCCATCAAGCATGCCTGGCTTTCCAAGAGACCCTAGGCAGTCAGCATAGGCTACAAAGACCGACCATCGCTTAAAGTCACTCTACTCCACAGTGGCGCTCCCCAAGGAGAGGAGAGGAGAGGTGACTGAGAAAGGACCTAAATATATAAATTCCACTGTTCTAGAGGGTTAGCATCTTGCAAAAAGATTATTTTAATATCAATGTTCTAACGCGAGACATGTATTTGCTTACACATGGACCTTAAAGTTCTTCCGAAGAAAAGAACAAAAATCTTAGCAGTCATTTACCAACAAAATTGGTCAAAAGTGATGCAAATGTAAGACACTTAAGCAAAAAGGTTCACAGAAAAAGGTCCCTAAATGCTATTTCCTAACTTGAAACTAAGGGAAACTAAGCTTCAGAAAAAAGTGTTTAGAAAGTGTGCCTGGTAGGGTGCTTACTTCAAATTCCTTCAATTTGAATTCCTCCTATTAGAATATTGGTTCAAAGGGGCATTACTTAGATACTCTCTACAAAATCCCCCAAAGAGGTGGCAACCTTGGTTTTAACAATCCTGGTCTTAACAAAGGACAGAAAATCAGAAATAACGTTTTGTTTGTTTGTTTGTTTTGGTCCAAGGGCGCATCAGAATTCCTGCCCTAGCTCTCCTCAAATGCACATGGTCAAATGAATCACAATAACAGGAGGATAAAGACAATAAGAAGCCAGATCCCCTGCGGTCAAGCAGGCCCTGGCCCAACGAGCAGAAACCCGCTCAAGAAGCCACCGTTTCTGCTGCGGATCAGCCCAGCGGGGCTCGGGAGACGGTGGCTGTGGCGAGGTTCGCGTTTTCTGGGAGCAGAACACACCGAAGCCGCGACTGTCCCGCACAAAGCCTGGCCGATTCTGTTTCTAGAGTTAGAGACAGAACTCGGCCGGCTTCTTTCTTTAAGGGAGGGCGGCTATGAAACAAACTGTGTCAGTGTCAGCGTACAGCCCTTGGTCCTGAGCGCCTTGATCGGACTAACGCAAAGCCCTTTTCTTCATTTCAGTCCTTTCCATCCCCGATGAGCCCTAGGGACCCCCGAGTCTTGGTCGCGGGCGGGCGGTTTCAACCGCACAGCCCAGAGGAGTCGGGGGTCCACTTCGGCTCTACAAGGTTTTTCTTTCCAAAGGGCGAGGCGGTCGATCTGAAGCGCCACTTTAAAGGCTCATCAATCTTAATCTAGGTTGCTCAAGTAATTATGCCCGAATCTCTTGTACGATTACAAGTGGATTTGGGTTTCTATTCCCCAGGCCCTTCTTTGTGTTTATTGGAGGGTCTGTGTGTGCGCTCGGCGGCGCCTCCAGCCTTCCGCTTGCTCCTCTGAATCCCCCTAAGCTTGGGCCGCTTCGAACCGCTCCCTTAACCCTTAAGTGACCACGACGCTCCTTTACGTGCCACTGCTGTGTTCTTACATTCCTTTTGCAGAAGTTTAAGCAGTTTTCCTCTTGATTGGGGCAAGGTGAGAAAGAAGGTGATGCAATTTACATCAGAAACAAAAGTATCTTCTTATACATTGCTGGGCCTTGCTGAAACTTCATAAATGTCTTTATTCTAAATACAGAGACTATTGATTTATGGTTTAATAGAGGTTTCTGGCATTTGGAGATGAAAAATGGCCAAAAGCATTAAACTGGCGAACCACTTCTTTCTTTTTTAAAGTAATTTAACATATCCAAACAATTGAACTGGGTCGATTTTTTAAAAATCATGAATTATCGAAACTATACTTATTGGTTTACTAAAATATATTAAGAATTAAAAGTACACCGTCCATGAACTTTTAACAGGAAACAAATTTTCTCTACTTATTGCTTGTTTCTGAAAGGGGACTGCACTTCCTTTTGATTCTACTCCAATTTTGTTCTATTGAGTTGAGATTTTTCTGGGAGTGTATAAAAGGACTTCAAAATGGTCTCATTTTAAGAAAGACATATCCTGAAATACTCAGCCTTAATAGTGTGTCTTTTTCCCCCTGTCCTTTGGAAATTTCCAATTACAACTCCCAATTCTACCATGTTTTTAAGGAACACTGAGTCTTTTTGTTGTAGCCTTCAGGGAGCAAACAAGCCACAGAGAGAATATGGAGTTAATCTACCATCATAGAGAGAGGGGATTATGTTCTAATCCCCTTTGGGGGAGCCTCTGGATTTTAGGGATCCAATATTAAAATGTTTACATAGGCACAGACACAAACCAGCAGATCTTCCATATGGTACCTTGGTATTTGAAAGCCTTGGACCTCTTTCCAAATACAGTTTTAAAAGAGCAGCATCTCTGAATGTCATTGAGATAATGATCTAGCTGGTTCTAGTCTACAAAATAATTGAAGTAACTATGAATTTAACCTTCTAAATTGTGCTTGGCACAGTGAGCCAGAAATTGACTGTAAATATACTGACTACAGTCACTACTCTAATAAAAAGATACACTACAACAATGTCTTCAGCACATATAGCAATGATATTAAATGATTGTTAAATTGGTGGGGAAAAACTCTTCCTATTATAGTGATGCATGTAATAATTTAAAATTGAACCAAAATTTAAAATTTAAAATTGAAAGTAATTAAAAATGTTATTTACCTTATACAATTGACAATACAATATTTAAAAAATTATCAGGCCATTGTTATGTTTTAAAGGTTAGGGATAGTACTTGCCATATGTTAATTTAAAGTAGTACAAATATCACTCAAGCATAATTAAAAGAGTCTTGAAAAGAATCAACTTGTCTTTAGGGCCATGAAATCTTTAATCAGTTGAGATGGCAAACTTCATTGTATAATCAGCATAGAAAGTACACATATT